TTAATAAAACAAACAATTAAACTATTAAATTTTTTTTTTTATATAATATCAGTCAAAAAATCTAAATAGATTTTAAAAATAATAAACACAAAATTTGAAAATAATTAACAATATTATTCAAAGTTAAAAAAGTTTTAGATTTATTTAAAATTCAAAATTTTTTAATTTTAATTAAAATATTTAATATAAACTATTATTAATAGTTTAAATAATATTTAAATGAAGTTTAAAAATATTTATACTCCTAATAAAAATTTTTTATTAAAAAATAATTTTTTTTCTTAAAAAAAAATAAAATATAAAAATAAAATTAATTTTTTTTAGAATTGCTAAAAAAAAGAATTTTTTATTAAAAATTATTTTGATAATTTTTGTAATAAAAATATTTTATTTAAATTTTAAAATTATTTTTCTAATAAAATTAATATAATAATGTCTTGTAATATGATTTAATAATAAATCTTAAGTGATACAAAATAGATTTTAAGTAATAAAAATTAGAATAATAAAATTTATGTATTTTTTATAATAGCAAAAATTTTAAATATTATAAAATAATAATTTAATAGTAAAATTTTAAATAATATTATCTTATTAATTAATTTAATTTAATATTTAAAATTAGAACAATTTATTATTGATTGAAAATATTTACTATAATATAATATTTATTTGATCATTATTTACTCAAATCAATTTCTTATCCTGTAAGATGATTTTAATAGTTTAGCTTTTATATATATTAGTTATTATTATCTAATGTAATCATAAATTATATCAAATTTTAATTTTAATAATTGATACTTTAAATTTTAATTATTTAAATACTAATACTTAAATCAATAGAAATTAAATTAAAAGAAAATTAAAATTTAATAGATTTTAAATTTTAAATTTTAATTTATATTTAACAAATTTAACTTAAATTCTTTTATTTTATATATAAATTTTTAACAAATAATATTTCTTTATCAAAAGTTAGATACTATTATAGTATTGATAAAAAGTTAATTTATTAGTATTAATGATAAATTACTTATATAGTATTTAAAATTATCTACAATAATATTTATAAAAAATCTATTTTATAATAATTATTTATTAAATAATTTTATTTATTTTATAAATATACTAGTTTATAGTTTACAAGCTTATTTATTATACAATTCTACAAAAATTTTTGATTCAAAAGAATTATCTTTATAAAAAAATATAATATCTTTATATAAAATAGAAGAAATTGAAATATTTTAAAAATTATAAATATAAATCAAAAGATATATCAGTTTAATTTTTATTAAATGATTTAAAATAAAAAAAAATAGGAAATAGTTATTCATATCATGAAATTAATAAGAGAATATGATATAATTGAAGGGTAGTATCATATTTAAAGTACTTGTTTTCAATTTAAAAATCAATTTTCTAATATTAATATTTTAATTGATATTATTTTATTAGTATCACTTTTAAATATAAATGTAAGAAAGAATATTTTTTTAACATAAATTAATTATATAATAAGATAAATTTGAAATACTAGATATGTATTAATAATACTTCTAAATATATTAATAATATTGAAGATTTTAATTCAAATAAGACATTTAATTATTAAAAAAAATAAATATATATGATAAATATATACTAATAGTATTTAATTTTTTATAATATATAATATAATAATAATGATTTATTAATTATTTTTTATAAATTAATAATATAATAAAGGTTTATAATTTTAAAAAATTATTTTTATAAAATTAAAAATTTTATGCTATAAGAAATTAGATTATACATCAAAAAATATTATTTAGAAATTATATATATAAAACTTTCAAAAATGACATAATTATAAATTTATTTATATATAATTTAAATATTTTAAAATTAAAAATTTTTGTCTTATGAGTTGAATTAACTAGTAATTTTTTTTTTTGATTTTTACTTAAAATATATTATAATTTTATTATAAATAAAATTTCTAATAAGTCAAATTAAATAAATTTTTCAAAATTTATAATTATACAAATTAAAATACAGTTAATTGTTTTTAGAATTTTGATTATAAAATATTATTTTTTATAAAAAAATATTGTATAAAAGAAATTTTCTAAGTTTACATAAGGTATATGTACCCGGATCACGTAACAGATATATTTGTCACCGGTGTCATTTCTCTCCGCCTTTAGTTTTTAATATTTATTTCAGGAACTTGGAATTTTTATGTGAAAAATCATTATTCGTAACTCCCTATCTATCACATGGCTAATTTCTTAATTTCTTAATGCTAGCGAATAATAATGTTAATGTCGGTCATGTCACGTGTCACGTGTACATACACCCGTGTACAAGTAGCCAATATTATTTTATAATTTATATTTATCTTATTATATATTATATATATTATATTATTATAAATTTTATTTAAAAATAATATTTTAACAAAACTTTATTAAATTTTTTTATTATGTTAAAACATTTTATATTATTAATTTTTTTTTATAAAAATATTATTAAAAATATATTTAATAAAATTATACTTTGGATATTAAATAAAAAAAAAATGAGAGTCAAACTTTATAAATATTTAATCAATATGAAAAACTGATAAAAAATAGACAAATAAATATATCGCACTAAATTAACCGTCTCTGTATAACCCTAACGACGTACAAGAAAAGTGGGTACTAGAAAAAAGAAAACGCGCTAGTTAATCAATTAATTTCATTAATACTAAAATCAAATTTTAAATTTGAACGAACTCATCTTTAAAGATTTGATTTTCTATTTACGATTTATTTTACGATTTATACTTGTCAAAAAAGCACTAGTCTCACAAATCATTAAAAAAAACATCAAAAATAATACGCTTTTTGCTCCTGTTTGATCTTGCGTTTAAAAGTTTTATTAAAAATGTAATACAATATTTTTTTTTTTCACTATTGGTAAATAATAAAGTACAACTTAAAGAGCTTGTAAGTTTTATTAGTTCAATTAAACAAGTATTCATTTTAAAAGATTTTCTTAAACAAAATGCTTCGGCCCTACTACGAGACTGCAGCAGAAAGCTGGTACCAATAGGCTTACGAAATGTAAGCGCCTATGCTCCTTCCCACGCATAGTACTATGCCGTTCCGATAAATACCCAACCAGCCCTACCATGAGACTTCCAGAAAACTGGGTACCCACGGGCTTACCAAAGATAAGCATGCCACGCCCCCACCCACGCGTAACATCATGCTGCTCCATAATATCCAAAACAAAAAAAACAAAAAAAAGCAAAATAAAGAGATAGACAAACCCGCGAAAAAACAATAACCAAAAAATACAACAAGCAAACAATAAAAAGCATGACATACCTCGTTCTTATCCCACCCTCACAACAAAAAAAATAAAACAAAAAAAATAGCAAATAAAGAAATGGCTCACCTTCTTACCTTAAACTCTTACCACCAAAAAATACAACAAGCAAACAATAAAAGCATGACATACCTCGTTCTTATCCAACCCTCACAACAAAAAAAAATAAAACAAAAAAAATAGCAAATAAAGAAATGGCTCACCTTCTTACCTTAGACTCTTACCACCAAAAAATACAACAAGCAAACAATAAAAAGCATGACATACCTCGTTCTTATCCAACCCTCACGTCAAAAACAACAAAACAAAAAAAAGCAAATAAAGGAATGGCTTACCTTCTTACCTTAGAGCTCTCCAACAAAAAAAGAAAAAAAAAAGAAACAAAGCAAAAATAAATAAATGGCTTACCTTCTTTCTAACCTTAGAACCCGACAACTAAAAAATAAAACGTACAAAAAAAAAAAAATCAAATAAAGAAATAGTTTACCTTTTTACCTTCGCGTTCTTAACCAGCCCACATGTCAAAGAATCTTTATTGTTGTTCCATAAGTTTTATATTATAAGAAAGTTCCAGTATTCATAAATATAGGTAAAAGTCTCGAGAAAGTTTGTATACTCATCGTAACATGATTAGGGGGTACGAAATTTAGTAGGATTAACAGGGGTATGACTTGATCGTCACCACACAAACCCGTGATCTTTACAGAGTATATCCAAGACGTAATAGAGCTCTTAAAATAATTGCATTAAATATATTGAAATTCACCCAGAGGACATTCTTCGTAAAAAACAACCTGATTTTTCATGGCCATTTTAGCAGATCTCTCGTTTAAAACATTTGCGGTGATATTGCCCATCGGACTTGCGTGAAAAAAATTGATAAGAGAGGATCATTATATCACTTGTGTGGTGTGGCCGATGATAGTGATTCGTTATTACCTCCACTTGATCTTGTACCATGCAAACATAAGGTACATTTTGAATGTATTTATAATAATAGAAAGTTATGCCCCGAATTGATGATTTGAAAAAGAAGGATATTACATTTCACCTACTTTCTATGAAACGCCCAAGAAAAGAAAGTGGCAAGTTGAATCACGTAAATTTACCAGAGTGACAAAAGCCTAAACTCATAATTCGCGAGTTGTCCATTCAACCAACTAGTGAATTATCAATTTGTGCACCTTCCGAAGGTTCTGAAATTGGCGAAGTTTCGATTCAATTCCATAAATTATACTATGACATTGATATTGCGGAAAAAAACGTGGATCGAAATAATAGGGAGTTAATTTGTTTTATTTTCGTTTCGGGAAAGCGATTCGCAAAGCAATCCCCCACAAACAGCGCATACAAAGCTGAACGAAGAAGTTAAGGAAATACTTCCGGAAAATGTGAAAAGAGGTATGGTACGCAAGTGAACAAATACGGCCAGGAAAAATTTACGACATCTTTATAGTGATAGGAGAAGATAAAAATTTTGCGCATTTTATTGCGCTACAGTCAATAGTCACTTTGGCTCCCACGAAACTTCCCCAGCGCAACAAACAAAAATCACCGGACAAATAAGCGTGACAAATAGGATTTCGCATATGACATTTTAATTCATTCCGTTAATTTCCTCATCTCTTCTTTCTATGATGAGATCTGGGTTCCTAGATGTGTTGAAACGATTAAAAAAGAAAACTAAAATGTATTTCAGCAAGAAGGAAGAAAAAGCGTGGCAGATTAAAAAGTTCGCTATTCCACGAATCATTCCTAGGATTTCTAACTCTTGGAAGAAATGGACTTGTTCAGCCTTACAATTTGGTTTCGAATTTCCGGTGATTGGTCAATCCATACGGGTTTGAAATAGAGCCCACGGGGGATAGTTGCAGTTTTTGTTTTTTGTTTTACTCTTACTCTATTTTATTTTTATTTAATTTGATATTTAATAAAATTACAACAGTACCACATCGTTAAAAAAAAAAAATAAAATAAAAAAATAGGATTTCACATATCGAAAAAAATTCAAAGCCCACGATGTACTCGCATAAATGTGCATATAATAAAAAATGATAGCCGAAAGGCGCCATATATATCGTTATGATTTGCGAAGGTTAATCCAATTGGTATGTTGACATTTTTAATTATTCCGTTTTTTGGGTATGTTTTGAGATGATAATGCAAATCCGATTTCGACTCAATCGTACAATTCTAATAAATATTTAGAATTTTTTTTTTCGCTGTAAAACTATTTTTTTTAAATAAAATTTTTTTTTTCGCTGTAAAACTATTTTTTTTAAATAAAATTTTTTTTTTTTTTACTATGCTTAACTTTTTCGAAGTATCTGCTGTATTTCGTCATAACAAGCCACCAATCAAGAGTCTATCAAGAGTCTATCTTATTATTAGTCACAATTTATTTAGCAAGGTCATTACAGTATTTATATGATTTCAAACTTTCTCAAAAGCGCTCCAAAATTTCTTCGAAAACTCAAAATGAATTTATCACATTATAGCAATTTTATCGAAATGGAAAAGTCGTTCAATTGTTTACTTCTAAAAAACACTAACAGCTCTGCCCTTTTTCCAGTTGCCATTTTCAAAGACAAAGATGAAAGATTCGTCATATTTGATCAACATATAATCAATTTAAACGTGAAAAGAAAAAAGTTGATAATTCTGACGATATTAAACTTTGGAAAGTTAATTTCGATGAAGAAAAGATTAAAGATAAAAACGTTTTTACCGAAGATGAAATTGTAAAAGGACTTAACGGAAATGAAATGAAACCTCATAAACAGTTTATTGAATATTTTCAAGCTGAATTAGATAATCAAGTAAAATTTACAGCGAGTAACATTCACATCATCGCCACTGGTAAGTGTTTTACCTCTCGAATAAAATTCGCGGCTATCATATATAGATTTTTGTCTGATGTTATTTTTTTTTTTCCTAAAAGCACAAAAGCTACCTGATCAATTAGAATTTCGTAATCCCCATCCTCTTCTCATAGGAAGTGGTTCCATTTGGGACTTTCAAGCCTCAAATGCTTTGAGAGGAAAACTTAAGGAAGCAATTCATGATCAGTACAAGTTTTGGAAAGTTGAACAACGTGAAAAAACAAAAATACCAGAATATTTCATTCTAGCAGGAGCTGGAGAAGGTAAATCTCGCACTGCGCAAGAATTGCCAAAATTATTAATTGAATGTGCTGAAAGTGATGCCGACTTACAAAATCGCCTTAAAAGATGCTCTTGTATTTAATTTATCGTTTGAAAATGGGACTAAATTAATTCGGGGAGAAGAAGACATAAGCTCTAATGCAATTGGTAATCGAATGCTCTTTCAATTACTGAAGCAAACTAATGAAACTTGGAATGATTTTAAGAATCGATATGATGTAACACCAGAAGATGTATTGCGCAAAATTGCCAAACATCGCACTCAAGAAGTTAAGGATCTGAATGTAATTATTATTCTGGATGGTTTACAAGTAGCAATGGATCATCCTAAAGATGGAAAAAACAAAAACACAAATTATTTTTTTTAAGATTGCATCTCCTCACTTGGCATTCTTTCGCTTTTTGGTCCATTTGTTGTTGTCTGTTGTACGGTCACCATCAGCATGCACATTCATGATTTCCTTGCCAGTTCAGCACAAAAAAGAATTTTTCTACCAGTCACATCATTACAACCTCCGAAAATAAATAACATCCCAGTTTTTAATGATAGCCCAATAATGGATATGCTCATAGATGATATGGGAGGTCATGGACGTGCATTGGAGGCTTTAGGAGAAGCATTTGAAGATAAAGATTTAAGCAAAATCAATTTTATCGATCTAATAAATAATGTGCGATTGAATCTCACATATAATTATTCGGGATGGCTGGCCAAAACTGCTTATTTGAGACCTATCCTCCGCATTATTTTGGCACATATATCTGTTAACAAAAATCAAACCATCCTTGGTCTTGACGGAGAAAAAATTAAAATAGATGATGTAATACAGTTTGGACTAGTTCGATTTGAGAGTTTCGATCCTGACCGAGTTGTTGGTTATCTATCGTGTCCATACATTTGGCTATGGATTATGGCTCACGCATATCACGAAAATATAAATGATCCTTTATTACGAAATTGGGATTTTGCTTACTACAATGAGGTACTCAACGAAGCAGGAGACCCTAATATCCCACCTGGTTGCCAATACTGGCAACATTTTGAGTATTTAGTTGCTCAGTTTCGCTCTCTAAAATCGAATATCTATGATTATGACCAACGAGTTGATCTCAGTGTCATTCATAATGGTGCCACGCATAACTTTAGCCAAGTTTCCATATCCAATCGACAACTTACATTATCAAAATCAGTTGAAAGAGTCAGCACCAAGTCTGAAGATTATAGGAATCAAGATACAACAATTTTGTGTCAGAAAGGATGAATTGATCTTGCAAATGCAAGTCATATTATAATCAATGCATCTGCTGCTAAGTTTGGAGATAACTTTTGTTCAATATATATGTCAGAGTCTAAACAACTACAAACGGAGGCACATCAATACAAATTATTGAGAGAACAAGCATTTCTCAGAAAAATTTTGAAGAAGAATATATAAAAGCAACTAGTTCAGGTGATATTTTCATTTTTTACACATCAGCATTCTCCCAACAACTTGAACTCCAACCAATGTCTGCAAAAAGAAACTGGAAAGAATATTTCAGTCCTTTCGCTGGGAGATGCTATAATTATGCTATGGGGCCACCAGATATTAATAAAGCGACATTCACTCAGCTGACTGGAATTGAGGGAATTGCAAAAAAAACGTGCTAAAACTATAATGGAAGAACGAGATCGTGTCGAATTTTTTGATATTGATGATTGTGAAAGGAGAACAAAAATTCCGCGTCAATAAATTGAGCCTTTTTTTTTCAAAAGAGTAAAGCATTTTTATCATGAATATTATATGTGGGAACTTTCCTGTTTATCTTGAGAATTATCAATTATTATTAATTTCGGTAAATATATCTTATATGCATAGCAAAACTGCAAAACCTTAGCTATTATATATGAAAATGAAATTGTTTTATAACGTAATTTTATTTTATTAATAAAGCATTATGACTCTGCGAATATATTAATATGTATGGAAATATCATTTTTTTTTACTTTCGATTTATTATCAATAAGAAATTATGATCGAAAAAGAAAATTGTATGCAGATTAACGTAAATTTGATAGTTGATAATTTTTTTATAAGGTAAATTTTAAATATTTCGTATTTTATTCTTTGCTTTACTTGCACAAGATGAATAAACTTGAAGAAATTACTGAAGAAAGTTCTAGACTAGAAGAGTTCGTTATGAAAGTGTGGCTGTACAAAAGAAAGCAAACCTAAACTAATATCCATTTTTTCATTAAAAAATTTCTTTGATTTTATTAGCATTCACTGATTCTGACATTGCATGTCTTGTATAAGTATAACTGACGAACGACCATTTCGACCAGTGCGGGCGTGATTTTTATTTTCTAGAATGATTTTTATGATGACGTTAGGATGTGCATCGGAAAAATTATCTTAATCACGTGATGTCAGCTTTAAAAAAAACCACAACTTACCCTCTTTACATTTCAGCCAATCAGAATTATATCCAATCATTAAAATTCATTAAAGTTTTGGTGAACGTTCCATTTTCTTATTTATACATAAAATGGTAGATTCAGTAGCAAGAAGATTACTTAAAGAGCTCAAAGATTACCGGAACGAACCAAACCCAGATCTTATTGAGCTATCACCCATATCGGATGATAACATCTTGATCTGGAATGCAGTCTTACGTGGAGAGTCGGACACTCCTTATGAAGGTAATGCGATCTTTTTTTTTTTAACGGTAATTTAGTTTAATTTGTTCGTTCATTGTATTTTTCTACGTTATCTTAATTAGGAGGGCAATGGACTTTACGTATTGAAGTTCCAAAATCATATCCTATTCATCCACCTAAAATCAAGTTCTTGACAAAGATCTGTCATCCAAATATATCTTTTAAGGTAATCAATTTATCGCATACAAGTGTCAAGAAAAATATTCATTTTTATTTATTACTTAGACTGGGGAGATCTGTCTTGATATTTTAAAAACGGCTTGGAGTCCTGCGTGGACTTTACAGTCTGCGTGTATGGCGATCAGATTATTGTTGTCAAATCCGGAACCGACAAGTCCACTGAATTGCGATGCTGGTAAGAACTTTATAATTAAGTCTTTGACTTCCTTGTACTTATTGTATCTAACAAATATTTTTGACATTCAACAGCAAATTTACTTCGATGCGGTGATTTCATGGGTTACGAATCTTTGGTGAAAATGTACACGCAGCTTCACGCAATGAATCAACAAGATAACGAAGAAAGTAGTTGAGAGGTAGGAATGTAACGAGCTTTATTAATAATATCAATCCGTTCAATTTATAAAAATTAGTTTACACCGTAATATTAAAATTAGATTTAGGTTTATATATAATGATAAATTACAATATTTTAAATATATAATATAGAATGAAATAGTTTAAATAAATAATGAATTATTATTAAAAAAAAAAAGTAATCTTTAAGATATTGATTTTAAGTCATTCCTAATTTCCGTTCCAACCTTTCAAATTCATGTTGAGAAACTGATTCTTCCTCATCCAATATTTGTTCCACGCAAGTAACTTCTGGAATATAATGCATTAACATATTCTCAATTCCATTTCTCAGTGTTATAACTGAAGAATCACAAGATCTGCAAGCGCCTTTCAATTTCAATTTGACAATCCCATTATCAAATCCTCTATACTCAATATCACCACCATCTTCTTGTATGGCAGGTCTAATTCTTGTATCTAATAATTCTTTAATCATTTGAACAACTTCAGGATCATCATCTTTAATTTCTGTATCAGAAGGTGGTTGAGCTTCTGTTAATATCGGTTGTCCCGAAGAAAAGAAATCCATAATATCTGCATATATATCAGGTTTCATTAATTGCCAAGGTGTATCTTGGTCCTTGCTTATGGTAATAAAATCAGGTCCAAAGAATACCCCTCGAACTCCATCTATTTGAAACAGTTTCTTTGCAAGTGGAGAGGTTGTCGCTGAATTTCCTGAAAGAAATTCTGCCGTTCCACCATCCGGCATAACCGATACTCCAGGTTTAAATTTTAATGAGTCTTGATTAGGCGTAGTTTCGGTTTGAATGAACATTGTACGAACTATAATATATTAAAACACCAATATTTACTTAACCAATGTATTCTACACTATAAAATAATATATAATAATTAACAATTTACCTTGAAAATTCGGGAACTTGTACAAATTATTTCTATTCATATTCACGCTTCTCGTTGATTCACAAAAGCGTAAAGAACCATTATGAGAACTTAGCAATGTATTTGTTCGTGTAGACATGGGACGGTGCTGTATATAAACATTATTTAAAGAACTTTTAACCGTTCTTCTTAAAGTTAATAATACTAATCTAGAAATCATATTTTTTTTTTTTTTTTATGAGCGAAATGTGTCGAATGCGAAAAAACGATCTTTTTTTCGTCAGGATCGATCACATAAGCATCATTTATGTTTATCCAAGTTAACGCCCGATGTAGGGTGGGCCCATTTTCTGCGGCGTTAAACTCAAATTATGCTTGCTTTATATAGTTAAATATGCAAGTATATTCGAAAATTTTTTATAAAATATGCTTCGTTTTTTTTTGTTTTTTTTCAAAAAATGCTAAAAAATGCGATAATTTCATCAAATTACTTTATTTAAAATCTATTATGATTATACTGCAATTACAAATTTTGATTATTAAAATACAAAAAATTCAAAGCAACAATTGAATTTTCTGAATTTTCTGAAAGAGCATGTCGTCTGAAAAACTTCGTTCTACATCTACTCGAGATACCGGAAGCCAAATATATTCCTAAGGCTAGTCTTGCTGAATTCGGTAAGCTTTTTATTTTGTTTTTCCAATAGATATTTAATCAAACTCACCATCATCAAACTCCTCCAATCTTGCATAATTTGATCTGTTGGATTTTTAAATTCTTGAATTTCCGAATATAAACTAATTATTATAATGATGTTGCTGAGTACACGATCTTAATCTTCTTAATCTATAGATCTTAACTGCGGATGTGCTATATGATATGCGAAAAATGCGGACCAATTAAATCTGCGACAGCATATGCTATTGCGAAAAATCGTGATTTCTGCGCATATTATGCCGCCGCAGAAAATGGACCACCCTAGCCCGATGTGATAAATATTAATTACATGACACAAGTTCCTACATTTTTGTTTGTCAAAATATTTTTATAACCATATGTCATCATTCTTCAGCTTCTTCTATTCCAAGCCAAAAACCGAAGAGGTTATGGCTACGACGAGCCTAACTAGCGAAGGTAAATAAATAATAATCTTAATTATATTAATAATATTATTATTTATTGTAGTCTTTTTCCTACTCAAAGTTTGTTTTTCCTTTAAGAATTAGAAACTACAAGTTCTCCGGTTAAAACTACTACAGAAGATCCTCGATCAGAACCTCCATCACCTGTCAACCTACTTTCTCCTTCACGTATAACACAACCGCAATCATCACAACTCGACTCGCAGCCTAAATCACCGAAGGAACAAGATCGTGAGTTTCCTAATTCTGTCTCATTCGGTATTCCACATGTTCTGTTCAATAATTGCTTCGTCATTTATACTACTACTAGAACCTTCCAATTCTTATACTGACGATGAAATTCTATTGTATATCGCCGAAAATAACGAATTGAAGTATGTCTGTGCGTGTTATCCATTATAAAAAAAAAATGAAAATGAAAGACACATTTCGCGTCTCATTAAATGTAAAATATTACTCTGGTTTTTAAAGCGTTTCCTGGTTAGAAGTTAAGAAGATCATCAAAGAGAGACTTACAAAGGTATTCTAAGCGAATTCAATTCATATTTAAATTTTAAAAAGTTCTAATATGAATCATTCCTTTCTGTAGACGTCCCATGACCCAGAAATTTCAATTTTGATAAATGGTGAGGATTCGGATAAAAATGAGGGAGACGAGAAAGATATTGAAAATTATATGCATGCCATTATTCAATTATTGGACAATTTTGATAGGTAACTATAATTTTGATCTCATTTGCTTTGTCATTATTCAATATTAACTTGGAAAGTGCCATTTTCTACCTTGATCTATAAGACCACCATTTACAATTCAAAGACTTTCTGAGCTTATAGTAAAGCCTTTTCAACATCATAAAACTTTGATCAAGTGGCTTCGAGCTGTGGAAAAGGTAATCCAGTAGAAACATTCTGTTTAAGCAAGTTTCATAATTTTATCATCAATAATTCACCTTTATTTATTGGAAACAATTGAAACACATTATTTATAATTTATTCCGTTTCTTTCTATCATCTCGATAGGTTTTAACGGTGCAATCATCTATGGATATGTTCCCATCCATAACCAATACAGTTACGCTTACAGATAAGTTAGAATTAATGGAAGTTACCACATCTCCAAAGTTGGTTCCTATTAGTTTTGCTTATAACGCAGAAGAGATAGAGAAGGAAAATGCAAATTCTCCTAAATTAGTTCCTATTAAATTTGCTTATAACGCAGGATTAGATGTGGCCGAGAATGAAGAATCAGATGATGAGATGAATGAAGATTATTTTTATGCTAAACGAAAAATCGTTATACCAAAAGATGATTTAGATGATGTAGAAACATTTGAGAATAAAATTGACGAGATGATTGAAGGAAAAAAACAGGACTTTTACGTAGAGGAAAATGATGATGTATCCGCAGAGAAAAGTGAACAAGACGTTAAAAAGATCCTTAATAAAAAAAGAGATTACGATGTTGAAGATAATTCGATTGAGGAAAAGGAGGAGAATGTGGAAAAGATGATCAAGAAAAAGAAGGAAGATAATGTTGAGAATAAAATGATTGAGGTGGGCGAAAATATTTCTGAAGGTGTTGAAAACTTACTTGAGGTGAAAAGTACTATCAAGGAGGAAGGAACAGAGAATGACCGAGAGAAGGATATAAGTGAAGAGAACTTGGAGACAAAGTTAAAGGAAGATTTTGAGGTAATTCAAATAGATAATTTGATAAAAGAAAAACATATAAATGTGGAAAGTGAGGGGGATATTGATGAAAAAGAGATCAAGGAAAAAAGCGAAGCGAATATCGAAAACATTTCCGGGGAAGGAGATATTAATAATATTAAAGTGGTAAGTGAAGAGTCTGTAAAAGATAATGAGGAAGAGAGTATAGAAAAAGGACAGTTTAAAGAAAGAATAAATGAAGTTAATGTAAAAGAAGATATTACAGAAAAAGGTGATGATGATAATGTAGCCGAGTTGAGCAAGGAAAAATTAAGAGGAATTGAAAATACAAATGAAGAGACGAAGAAAGTAGAATAAATACGGTAAAAAAACAAGCAATTAGTAGAGAATATATACAGTCAAACAATAAATTTTTGGATAAAAATTAATGGATGAATTTTGTTTTTAAATCATAATCATAAATATTTATTGATGGGTCATTTTTTAATACAATTTCAAAAGTAATAATGTAATTAAAAAAAAGCTCATTTAACATGGTAATTTGTTTTAAATTAAATAACTTTATCACAAAAAAAAAAAAAAAAAACAAACAAACAAACAAAAAAAAAAATAAAATAATAGTAAAAAAAAAAAATTATAATAAAAAAAGACATGCAACTGAAATGAATAATACTTGTTTAAATAGTATTTATGAAAATTTACATTAAATGTTTCATAACTTATGAAAGAAGTAAATAATATATATATATATGAATGATTTCAAAGATTTTTTTTTTCTTTTTTTAGCAATATATTGAAATAAAATAATAAATAAATAATAAATAATAATCTACAAATGTCAGTTTTTTATTTTTTTTTTTTTTTTTCTCCAGATAAAATAAATAAATAATAATAATAATAATAATAATAATAATAAAAAAAAAAAAAAAATAAAAAAAAAAAAAAAAAAAAAAATGATAAAAAAAAAAAAATTTGATAGAATAATTACATTTCATTTTCACTTTCTGTAGCTCCACCATAATCACGTCTTAAAGGTAAATCTGGTAAATCGTTTATATCATCAGAATAATTATTAAAATCAGGAAAAGCCTCATAAGTGCTACCATCATCACCCATATTAATCCCTATATTGCTTCCATTTGTTGACATGGTTAATCCACTAATCGTTCTTGCGTCGTCGTCAGTTTGTGCAGAATCAGTATATTCAGGATCGTAATATTCATAATTGTTATATGAGGTACTTAAATAAGATGAATTAGTAAAAGATTTGGATTGTGTACTAAAACTTTCCTCGTCATCTTCAATATTAGTAGCTAGTGGACTATTTATTCTATTTTGATAATTTGAAAAATCAACTCCACGAGAGATTATTCCATGAGGAACGGAATAACTTCGACGATGAACACCATAATCTCTTTGTGTGTAATCAGGTAAACTTGATCGATTTTGTTCCGAAATCATTTTTAACCAGTAATTTTCAAACACTTGGTCTGAAATAATAGTTAGAAATAAAATAAATAAATTAAAAAGATTAAAAGAAGAAATATTAAATAAAAACCGAATATCATATAACACGCTATCTGATTCTACCTAGTCCTAACGCATGCGAATGACGAGCACCCACAGAATTTAATGCTTGACTTACTCCGGCAGTCAAGGAATTTGTTGAAACTCCATGAACCAATTGTCTCAATAATCCATCATGCCTCGAAGCGGAACCATTTAAAAGTGGTGTCGAGGGAAGAACAACCGGTTCGGCCAGTGTATGTCTACGAGGAATGCTCGTAGCAACTGACCTTTGATGATTAAATGGTAAATATTGTCTATTAAATTCGCCTGAACCATTAGATGCGCTAAATTCGTCAGGTAAGACAGGAAGTACAGCACGTAACGGATCTATCATAATGCTGTTACTTCTGACAGTTCCACTCGATAAATTATTAGGATTTTGAGAATAACCTTCAGAGTTGTTTCGATTAGATGTAATAAAATAAACACCTACAAACGTTGACATACATCCAATAAAAAAACCAGTGAATTTCCAAAAATTCATATCTGCAAAATCCTTATATAATACAGCACTTCCTATGATTGCAGAGATGGTGAAAAGGACAAATTGAGTTGGAATGACCTCCTATAACATGAAAATTTTAATTTAATAGAAATTAAATTGAAATTAAATATATATATTATATGTATATATATTTTTCCTTAAATTTCAAAATTTATTATTTACCGTTGAATCAAACTGTTTTAAAGCTTTGTTAAGATATTTAATTTGAAGCACTGCTGTACTCATTAAAATTATCACTAAGAGGTAAGTTATGGGATATGTAAACATTGCAACGAATGTCATTGTCAACATAGATGAAATGGATTTTGTCGCCAATACAGTATATCCACCTAAAATGTACACACGAGCATATTAGAATTTTCTTTTTGAAACAAATTGTGATGGACATTAATTAAATAAAATTACCGAAAATTGCGACTAAGGATAAGTCAACAAAGCACGTCTTGTGACCAATCCGATCCGACAAATACATTAGAAAGGTCGCCAATGATGCAGTGATGATGAAATAGATTATAAATGGTGTCTGTTTAATAGCATTCCATATGGCTTCTGGATCAAGCTGTAGTTTACAAGAAAAGTATTAGATAAAGAAATTCTAGTCGAATTACGGAGAATAAAATGTCCACATATATATAAATACTTTTGCTTCATCAGATTTTGAATTAACCACCACCACAACCGCTCCGATTATCGCAATAAGAACTCCTAATAAATCCTGCTTACGAAATCTCTCTTTCAACATGATCGGAGCCAGAATAACATTAGAGATCAAAGCAACTGTTCCTAAAGGGGCTACTACCGAAGCAGGTGCGAATGCATAAGCCATAAAATTTCCCAATTCACCTTGATAGAAAAATGGGTTTAATCATTGACAAATAAAATGAGTACACATCATACGAAATAAAATTTCATTTACCAATGATCATTAAAAATATGCCGGTCCACCATGCTTTTGAACGAAGGTAGTTTGTTTCACTATACTGTTCTGGATCTAATAATACTTCATAACCATCGTCATTTTGAGTATGTAAACTACGTGAAGATAAATCTGAACCAAAAGAAGCAGCTTGTGAATTTGTATTAGAATTATTTATGAATGCTAGTTGGAGCCTTTGCAGCTCGTTATGGGCGTTTTTTTGAAGGTTTAACGCAACAGAAATCAAAATCTAAATTGACAAAGAAATCTGAGACAACAAATTAAAATAATAATGATGATAATAATATTAATAATAATAGGCCATAAAACTTACATTGCCTGTTACGGCGAAAATAACGCCGATGAAAGATTTGACCTCGGGTAAGGTTTTAAGAGGAGGCCACATTTTTTGTTTTTCAGCGAGTTCTTGCAGTGAACATTTGGGGCGTAAGGAATGGCGATATTTAAGAAGGAAAAACAAGGGAAGTTGTTTCAACTTATATTAATGAGGTCCGAACTTTGGATCTCTTATATTCTACGTTGTTTTCAAACCAATAATTAACGACTCAAGAGTTGATTTCCCCGTTGTCATGTTTATAGGTTCATATAGTGCAGTGTAACGATGAAGTCTCCTAATTTCCCTTCTTGTACATGCATGACCCGATGGAAAAAAACCCTTCTTTTAATTACCAAATCTTGCCTTTTATGGATGAATTAATAAAAAACCACTTAAAAAAAAAAAATTTATACGTACACATTATTATTATTATTTATTATTATTATTATTAGAATGTTTTTCAAAATCTATTTTAATTTTATAATAATTTTACTTTTGGATATATCTTACTTTCAAGGAGGTCATTCTCGTCGCCATGGTCATAGTCATGGCGGTCCAAGTATACCTGGTCTTGTTATTAACACGATTCAAAATAGTATGTTGACAATTTCGTTTATAAAGTATTCTTCATTAGCCGCAAATTAAACTCTCGTTATACTTTAACAGAATATCTTTGGAGGTGTTTAGATTCTGCAATAAACCCATTGTATTTGAGTGAATGTAATAGGGGACCTAGTCAAATTAAATTCCATATAGAATTGCTTCATCAAAGTTATCCAGGATGCGCAAAGCCATTTAAAATATATGGAGCTGGAGGAACTGTGTATATTGATTATTGTATTAGACTGTCGTTGCCTTTACGTTTGATCTTTCAACTTCTCATAACCTTATTTATTTCAAATGTTTATTTAGGTTGTCATGGAATGAGAAAGAAAATTACGTCGTCATGAATTCATCGATCAATGCTGAAAACGCAGAGTGGTGTTATAATGATTCAAATTACGAGGCAATAAATCATTCTTTCAATTGTATCAATTACATCCCATTAATTCTGTCACTAAATATCTTTTTTTTTATTTAAATTCCGACTATAGGATTCATTTACTATACACCCAAATGAAAGGCCGAAAGATTGCTTATCAGCTCCTTTTAAAGAAGGAGATCCGGTATTTGTAGTTGATTGTTTAGTTAAAGATGATATTCAAACGTTAGGAATATCTTGGGAGTTACTAAATACAATAGTGATAGTTCCTGAAACAGATGATGATTGAATCACATCTAATAGATTAGAATACTTAGATATATATTATATATTTTTAAAGCTATAGTAGTTTAATAAAAATTTTAAGACAGGTTTCTTAATTTCTTTTATTATTATAAAATATAATATTAATCCCTACATTATTGATTTTGACAAGTAACAAAATAAGAAAGTTACAATTATTTATTTATTAATTCTTAAGAAGACGATGAAGCAATTTGAGCGAGATGTTTTGATAGAGGGCCATGATGTGATAAATATTTCACATAAGCACCATCAGGTTGCAAGAGACCATTCTGTCTCTTTTCAGCATATTCTTCTCGAGATAATTTTGTAAATCCCCATTTCTTGGACACAACGATCTTTTGACGTCCAGGGAACTTGTACTGTGTTTTAAATACAAAATAAATTAATACCGATTTAATTCTTCTATTAGTAACTTGTGAAGTTAATATTATAATTTATAAGATACCTTAGCACGTCTAAGAGCCTCAACTACAGTTGGCTTGTTATTATCTTTGGTGCGGACAGAAAAGATGATCTGACCGATATCAATACGAGCAACGGTTCCCGTGGGTTTACCAAAAGCTCCTCGCATACCAGTTTGCAATCTATAATTAATTTAGTTAATTAAAATCAATTGATACTGGTCTAACAAATAAATATAAAAAAAAATTTACCTGTCAGCACCGGCACATGACAACATTTTGTTGATGCGAATAACATGGAAAGGATGAACACGAACTCTTAAATGGAAAGAGTCTTTACCGGCTAATTTAGTAATATACTTGTTAGCACAGATACGTCCAGCTTCCAATGCTTCACTAGAAAGTTGTTGATATTCGTCAGAAAGCAAATGAATACAGAGAGGAAATTCGTCTACATTTGCCTTCTTTCGGCCCAAATCAAAAATTCTAATTTTTGGATCTAATTATTTTTTTTTTTTTTAAAAAAAAAAAAAAAATTACATTTTTATTCAATTACATATAAATCTTAAATTTGATTGTATTTTATTCTTACCGGGAACACCACGGCAGAAACGACTCTTGGGATAAGGTTTATTTTTACAGTATCTGTAACAGCGAGCTGGACGACGACCCATTTCTTAGGCTTTTTTTTTTTTTTTTTTTTGGAGAGTTTTTGACCAATAAAAATAAATTTTAACTTTTTTTAAAAAAAAAATAAATTTTTTTTGCCCCCGTATTTATATTTTTTTTTAATATATTACAAATCATTTTCATAGAAGTCGAATGAACATTCTGACTAATCAATAACAGACCTCTTTAATTCTGGGCAACGTTAGGGATTACAAAATATCAGGTTACGTTAAATTATGTAAATTATAAAAATAGATTAGATGTGATTGCATTCTGGGGTCAAAGGTGTTACTTTGAAAAGATTGGAAAATTCTGTTCGAAAAATCGTCGGATGAGAATCAATATTGGGACATAAAAATGAGCACGGCCAGTAATGCTCCAGGTGCTCGATCGCCAAATGTGAATGGCGATTCAAGACGGATCCCTAGTTTAAGTGATTCGCGTTTAAACGATTATTTACCAACATCATTGCACCTTGAAAATCTTGCAAACACAGTAACTAGCACAATGACAACTACTGTCTCAACTACTGCATCAATGCTTTTCTCTCCTTTAACAACTCGTGCTGTTAAAGGAGACACTGCTTATATTTTATCCGAGCTTGCACCTCAATTAATGGATCAGCGTCGCTTACAACAATTTATAAGTAATGGAAACTCTCGTCATGCAAAAGAAAACTCAAAAAAAATAGTTTCTGCAGAAGACATTTCTACAAGCACAACTCCAATACCCGATGATATTTTATTAGACTCAGAAATACCAGAATCTAAAGCTCCATTATCATTATTTCAAGGTTACAAGGCAACTTGTCAAGACGTTGAAACACATAAAAAATCTAAAAGAAAATCAAAGTTTCATAAACGAAAAGTAAGAGGTCTTTTAACTGACACTTTTGATGCAACGTCAGATACAGGTAGCAAAATTACTTTTAATAAAAAGAAAAACTATTGACATTATTTTTTGTTACATAGACTTATTAAAGTCTGATCTTTTAATAAGTATTTTATATTTTCTATCCATAAATAGCGTCGGCAGATAGTGATTATAAACCTCTTAATCAACTTATTGCGGATCGTGATAGAGTTGTAAGAGAGAATAACAAAATACAAATGCAAGAGGTAATATTTTAAGATGAGTGATGATAAATAAGATTCATTACATTTCGAGAAATTTAATTATAATAATTTATCTTAAATTTAGTCGCGAACAAAAGCCGATATTAAAAAAACTGAAAGTGAAATTGCAGAACTGACTACTAGAAAGTTAAATTTGGAAAACAATTTGGCTACATACAACAAACGACAGGTCGAATTATCTAGCCAATGTAAATGTTATATATATGTGTGAATCTTTCTTTTGTAATATATTAACGCAATTGTAATTTAGTGGAAGATCTAAACGAAAAGATCGCCAATTTTAATACTGAAATTAGTTATAATGAAAGACGAACACGTACAAAAGGTTTAAATTTTTATTATTTTTATTGGTCTTTTGAAAAAATTATTAATTTTAGTCTAAAATATAGGGAAAGGTGTTGCAAAACGTAGCTATGCGCCCGGAACATGTTTTAAGGTATTTATTATTAATTATTAGATATGTAATTCGGTATTTTATCAACTTCTTACAATTGTATAGGTTTTAGAAGGTCACGAGGATATGATTACATGTATTGACTTTGAAAAGCCTTATGGAACACTTGTCACGGCTTCTTTAGATAATACATTGAGAGCCTGGGATCTGAATAATTATCGCTGCTTTGGAATTTTAGATGGACACAAAGGCAATAATTTAATATGAATATAAAGAAAAGGTTAAAACAAAATTATTGATTTCTTACCTGTGTACTTTTTTTTATATAGATTTAGTTAAATGTTTACAAATAGATGGATCCCGTTTAGTGACTGGTTCACGCGATAAAACAATTCGTCAATGGGATTTATCCAAGTTGGTTTCTCATCCAGAATCTGTCACCAATTTATCGGAATTAAGTTTCGCTTCAGCTTTAACACCAGAGGCAAATGGATTGGCAAATGTTGGTGATAATTGTTGGATGGCTTCGTTGGAAGGACACAGTGGATCAATTACTTGTCTGCATTTTGAAAATAATTATCTTGTGAGTTTTATGAAAATCTATGTGTGCTCTTGATAACTAAATATGTATATACTTATTTACCTTTTATGAAAGGTATCCGGATCTTCAGATAAGACTATGAAACATTGGGATATGGAAACAGGACAATGTATTTTAACTCTGGACATTTTGTGGGCCATGTCTTGCTCTAATGCTGAGCGTAGGCAAGCTGGACTTTTATTTGATAGTTCATTTGGTGGTGGTGATTTTATAGGAGCTTTGCAATTTCGAGATGTTGGATTAGCAAGTGGAACCGAAGATGGTGCAATACGAATGTGGGATTGTATCCTTTGCAAAATCATTGCATTTTATATTTAAATATAATCTTTAAACTATTCTTAACTATTTGATTTTTGACATAATTATAGTAAGGACAGGTCAAGCACACAGAACACTATTGGGGCACACAGGTTAGAAATATGATAAATCTATTTAAGCATAACGAACCAAAGAACAACTTATTAAATATATAATGTTATGGACAGGTCCCATAACAAGTCTTCAGTTTGATGATCTTCATGTTGTAAGCGGAAGCGTTGACAAAAGCATAAGGGTATTTAATGGCTTACTATTTGATATTATCATTATCATTATTATTATATTTTTGAGATTTATGATCATTTATTAATCATCATCATATAAATCTTAATTTGATAAAGATATGGGATCTAAGAACGGGATCCGTGATTGACGCCTTCTCTTATGATAATAGTATCACAAGTTTACAATTTGATTCCAACAAAATAATCAGTTGTGCCGGTTGCAATGATATAAAGGTTAATTAAATTATCATCATCATTATCATTTTAAAAGAATTTTATTTATTAATTTAATGAGTTTTTTTTCTTTTTTTTTTATCTTAGATTTATAATCGAAAAAATTTTCAACATTCGAGTTTCGAAGGACATTCACAGCATTCACAATGCATTAAGTTTAAAGACTCAACTTTGTTATCTGGAGGACAAGATAGAGTGGTCAAATTATGGGCTTTATAACTTATTATAATTAAATCAAATTATCAGAAGTTTATTAAGAAATCTCGTTACTCCGGTGAATGAGTTCTCGACTAGAACACGGTTTATTAGAGTATAGACTTTTTATTGGTTTTACATATAAAGATTTTTTTTTTTAAAAAAAAAAAATTTTTGGAAATCTTAAAAATGGTTTAGAAAGATTTGTAATAATTAAGTATTTGTAAATTTGAAGTCTGGCATTAATTATACATAAGAAGTAATTAAATAGATTTATTTATCAATATTAAACTTTGAATAAAGAATTTACATCTTTAATGACAAAAAATGATCATCGTGTGAGACTTGAGTTATTGTGATCTACCGTAATTATTATATTTAAAACTATTACATGTTTTTATCTAGTCCATAGCTCAAATGATTTTCGGTTTTCCGATAATCTCTTTCTCACTATTTCGACATCTTTCCAATAGCCGCAATTCAAAGCAGCCAAAATTCTTAATGATTTCAAATCTCTATCCCAATTTATAACTTGTAATATAATTTGATCTGTTACCCATTCACAATAAGATACATCTAGAAATAAAAGGTTTATTAATCCTGAAAGAATACGTAATGAATGTGGACCATCTTCACGGCTAAAACATCCAGCAATTGACAAATGTGTTAATAATGGTGATGTTGAAACCAAAAGAAAAGATATAGGAATTCCGGGAATATTATTGTTAAACGCCAAATTTAATTTACGTAGTTTTGGAAGTTTAGAAATGTACATTTTTGTTATTGTCTTTGATGAAGTATCATCTTCGATTGTAAGATCAATTTTTTTACTAAAAGTTCTATAAGATATAACATCCGTTTCTTCATCATCTTGATCAACGAGATCCTCCCAATCTTCAACTAAATTGTTTTCCCAATTTTGTTCTCTGACAGTTTTCCAGAAAGATTTTCTTAAAATTTCGAAATTAATGCTACTGTTTGCAAGATCTAATTCTTCATATTCAGTGTCCATGGTAAATAATGGAAGTATTTCCTCGGTAAGAGGATTGTAGATACTCAAAAATGAAAGAATAAGCTGTTTAAGGTGAGTTGGTATACTTGAAAAATATGGGCATGATATATAAGATTTAACATTTGTAGCCACTATTTTTAGACAACTTTCCAAAAGGGTTGGAATTTCACGCATTGAAAGAGTTGAGTCTATTAAATAAATTCAAAAGTGTTAACAAGGTTCTTAATAATAAATGAAACTATTATATTTTTATTGTAATACAATAGCCTGGAGAAATCTTCTCACCGTCCCAGACTTTTCTTTTTTCTTTTCTTTCCTTAATTAAAAACTCCATTGTTTCAACCTTACCAACTTCTCCCTTCCAGGCTACTAACCAGCTTTTGGGTGGTACTGGACCAGATACTCGCTGTCTCATAATATCTCGATCTTCTCTTTCTCGTTGATCTCTCTCAGCATGTTCTCGCATTAAATAATTAAACGCTGGTTGTGGCAAGGTAGGCGACAGATCTGCTGAAGCTAAGCCGTTGCTGAATCGAACTTCTTTGCGCAATTTATCAAGTATTGAAGAAACTTGATTTGTTGATTCATTACTTTTATGTTGGATTGTTGGTGAATAATTATTCGAGGAAATAGGCTTCCGAAATCGATGCTTGAGTTTCTGTCGAGAACCTTTAACCATATCAAAAAAAAAATTATTATTTACTTTTGATTTTACAGTGAAAACCACCTATATATCGTCACCATTTCAATTCAATAATGTTGTAAAAAATCCTCTAACTATAAAAAGTACATGCAATTTTATGTCGCACGCAGATCATTTTCATATTATGTAATTATAATTAAAGTTACTTTACTCTATAGGAAATTGATATCCAACCATTACATTTGCGCTTTAAAAATTCACAAGTAAAGATAAATACAGTATATTACTTTATCAACAAAAATATATGTAATATTATGGGAGGAAGAAGAATCTTAGATTGTAAAGTGTATTATTTTATGTAAAATACAAAAAATTGATTTTTAAATAAAATAATGGGATTATCATTTTTAGGAACTTAAAGTAATGAAAATAGTTTTTTAAAGCAAGTCAGATTTTAACTTTAAACAGTTCGGATTAATGCAAAAATTTTCAATTAGATCAACTTCAGTTCATAATAATAAAGAATCGTTTAACGTTCCAAATGAACATTAAAAAAATCATTCATTTTTAATGAATGATAAGCATCATTCAATTACGAAAGAAGAATGTTTTTAAATTACTCTTCACTATTCAAAAAATGTTATTTATTAATTAAATAGTCAAGATATAAAGATTGTTGATATTGATATTCTTTAATTGTTACATAAAGTAAAAATTTGTAAATATATTATTTATACATTTAAATTTTATTAAGAACTTTATACAAAATCATTATAAATTTTAATTTTACTTTAACTTTTATACAACTTTATATCTAAATTATAAATTTTTTGTAACTATTTGAAGTATTTCTTTTTGATTAAAAAAATTATAATAATTTAAATTTGGATCTAAGTTATTTATATATTCTTCAGAATTCTAATATATCACTTAGACTAAGTTATTGATAACACAATATAATCTAGATAATATATATGTGATCTAATTATTATAATATAATCTAGTTAACACATATATAATCTAATTATTACAATGTAATTTAATAATATAATCTAATTATCATACTTTTATCTAATTATGTTAATATATTTTAATGTTAATTATTCTTTTTAATATTTTAGATATTTTTTAAACCTTTTCAACTATTAGTATTTTTATATTAATATGATTTTATTATCACTTTATGATCTAATTATCTTTTTACTTTTTAATTTAACTATCACTGTATTCTTGCTTATTTTATGCCTTTGTTATTAAAAGATTATTTATAGATTAGCTTACTTTTATATCTTTTTATAATTAAGAAACTATCATATGCTAATTTGCTTCTATGTCAATTTTATTAGTAAAAAGTTTTTATATATTTTTCTACTTTTATGTTTTTTATTAACTTTTAAGGTATGTTATCATAAATTTTCTAAACATCTCAAAATCACATATATACATTAGATAGAAATAAACTTATACAATTAGTTTTTAGAATATTATGAAAAATTGTTATAATAAATTTGATTAATTTTAGTACTATTCAAAAGCTTTACTTTTTATGCATATTTATAATAGTACTAATTTCTTTTTTTAAAAATTTATTATTGTTTATAATTAAAATAAAAAAAAATAATAATTAAAAACTTGTATCAAAATGTAGATCACTATCTTTTTTTGTTTAAAAAGATAGATAAAATTTCAGAAATTATTATTTTTAAACGTGAATAAAGATAGTACTGTAACTAGTTGCATATGTAATGCTTATTTATCACAAGGTTGCAACTAATTGCAATATTAATAAAATTAAGTTGCAATCAGTTGTAACTCTATAATAAATAAGCATCATATAGTTGCAATTAGTTACAGCGTCAACTTTAAACATTAATAAATAATTTAACTACATAAAAGTGATTATAAAAAAGTAAAAATTAGTCAAATTCTTGACATTTTAGAGTTTACAATTAGAAGAATAATTAAATAATATAAAAATGTAGATACACCTTCAAACAAAAACAAAATAATTGATTTTCACTACTTGATGATAATGACTGTAAGTTTTAAAAGAAATTATTACTAAAAAAAATAAGTTTTCGCTGCTAAAATATAAAAAAAATTTTGAAAACAACTGGTTTAAAAAGTTAGTGTTAAGATAATTTATAAAAATCTGCATAAAATTAAATTTAATTCTTATCAAATTGCTATAAAGCTATTTTTGATTAAAAATTAACACTAAAAATGATTAGAATAATATATAGATAAATAAAAAAGTTTATATAATAATAGAGAAATATTATTTGAAGTAATAAGTCAAAATATACATTTTTTTATAGTAATAATCCTTATTAAGTCTAGCATGAATTAGAAATTTAATATAATATTGAAATTTAAATTCTTTTATTAAATATGATAGTAGCAGAATTATGATATAAGTGTATTTTTTAAATAAAGATTTAGACCTACTGATAAAAGTAGAAAAGATTATTAATTATTATGATTATATTAATATTTTAAATAGTAATTTGTTATCTTTTATTCACTTAAAATTTAATAATCAATTTTACAAATTTCAATATGATTAGAGTTCCAGATGAGTCGAGTTAACTCACGAGTCAGATAAGCCGAGTCGAGTTTAAATCGAGTTGAGTTTATGTTTTTTTGACTCGATG